CGTTAATAAATTAGTTTTTTTTTATATTTGTAAGTGTATGAAAAAGTCATTTTAATTATTTTATTAAAGTTGCTGGGTGGAAAGATTAGGGAAATAATTGGTTACAATCATGAGTTATATGGTCATTTTTATCATATGACAGATCCAACATTAAATCTATATAAGTAACATCATGAAATCCACTAATAAACAGACTGTTAATAATAAAGTAAAATTTAAAATAAACAAAAAAATAATACATCAAACCTAAGTTAATAAGAAGTATAAGCATATGTTTACAAAATTACATGAATTGATAAATACCTACCAAAAATATAGCTACCCAAGCTAATCCTATATTATCAAAAGATATGGCTCCCTGAAAAGGATTCTTATCACCCGCATGGCAAACTTTGTAGTACTGGTTCCAGTCCACACAAAAAGAATCAGGTAGTGTGTTATTGGTGTGAGGCAAAGCCAAGCCATAGCATATGACTTCATGATGTTGATAGTGAGGAAGCTTTTCACATTTATGCATTCCATTATCTTTTTCCATGCTACAGAGGTAGTCTTTCTGTGATGCTTGTTTTTGGTAATAAGAAGACACTGGGCTAAAAAATATTAAATGCAACAATTGAATTTCAAGCATATGTTTTGAAACAAAAAACTAAACCTGCATGAAATTTGCTACAAAGTTAAATGTGTTTTTCATACAATATACTTTTCATAACACCTCAATAAAAGTTTATTCATATCTATTTTATTTTACGATACATCTAGAAACAATTTTAACATGGTATAATATTACTAAATTTATTGTATCCATTGTACAGAAAATAAAATTACTGGTGCAGCTTCAAATTTTGAAAATTTTATAATCAATGTGATTAAACCACTTCTTTAACAAACTTTCTGAGTTTGTCATTGGCAGTACGATATACCACAGGAAAACAAACTACACAGTCCAGTTTATAGGTAAATTGAATTAGTAAAGCCATGAATAATGAATATTCTAAGTTTATAACTATTTACAATTGAGAAAACAGGAGACTTTGCAAGATGGTCACATATTGTTGGCTGTAATGTTCTTCGTCCTTTGATAATATGTTCGATGAATTTTAAGGTTTAATAATATAGATACACTACTCCTTGACTCATGTGACAAGGATGGTCCCTTAAATCACTCATTGTTACTGTTCGAGTTAACAAAACTTATTTTTTATTTCAACACATTTTTAACCAAGACAATTATTATAAGTATTCTTTTAATACAAATGAGAAAATGACATATTAGAATTACCAGTAAGCAACTACATTCCCATGCAATGTTAACAACATTCAAATAAGGCGCCATCATAGAAAACACTTCCACTAGATGGAAGCACTATTGCATGCTAACACCAATGAGACAATATACTGGAACATTCACTGGCGCTTCATCATGCTTTGATTCCCTTTTTTCTTTTTCGATTTTGTTAAAAATAGCAAACATAATTAAAATTAAAATGTATTTAGAAATTTGCTTTTTTTATTGATAAAAGCATACGCATGCTAAAAGAATTAGGGAAGTAAAATTCTTACTTAACAGTTTTCACTTTTTCAACATAATATTCAGATATATACCTGTAAAACAAAGTAAGTTATCAAAAGATATAACGTAAATTTCATTAAATATTTTATATCTTTATTGAGAACATCTAAACGAAATATTTATAAAGAAAAATACAACTGACGTTTAATAATATAGTAATAATTAATTCCATAATTTACTTTTGTTAATTTTTTTCTTATGCACTAAAATTAACACTAAAAACCAATTTAAAGCTTTGAAAGATTTCACTTTCAGGACTTGTTAACAAAAGTATCAATAATGCAGCTGAACATTATAGTTGAAGAGGTGATTTACTGGAAATTATGATTTCAATGTTGTGCGGAATAAGGGCAATATTCTGATGTTTCTGAATCTGATTTCATTTTGAAGAATTATAATGGTTGTATCGTCACAACTTATTTCGCACATAAAACAATTGTGAGAATGGATTAGTTAGCACTTGCTTAGAATCCCAAACCCATAGAACACAACAGTCACACTGCATGGCTCTTCTGAGAATCATCTTGGAAAAGGAATAAAGAAATAGTCCCCAAAGCTTCATTCAGTGTACACAGCAATGTTGTAGAGCTATATTGTCTGCTGGGGATATTATTCCTTGTTATTAAGGCTTAACCCTGATGAAGCCGCAATGGCGAAACAGTGACTGAAATAAAAATTTATTTGCTTAAAATTATTATTTGTTGAATAAAGGTCGTTTTTTTCTAACTTCACCGCCAGAATGTTTTAATTCCTCCAGTATTTACCAATAGTTCTGAAAAACAACAAAATATTTCCATCAGTTAAACGTTTTATATTTTTAGATACTTTCCTGACCCCCCCCTCGGTGGCACGGCGGTATGTCTGCGGACTTACAACGCTAGAATCCGGGTTTCGATACCCGTGGCGGGCAGAGAACAGATAGCCCATTGTGTATCTTTGTGCTTAATTACAAAGAAACAATACTTTTCTGGTCATTTAAGAACATGTGCCAACTCTATAATTCTGAGGAGGAAGGGAAGGTACAACTTTTTTCCTCTTTTTTGTACCTTTTTTTATTATTATTTTTATCTTGTCAGAAGCATAAAAGCTAAATAAGTTCAAGTACATGTATATCGATAACTAACTTTCTAAACATCTCAATGAAAATATAGTTAAATACGTTGTTTGAAACATGATTAACAAGAAGGCATCGTCTGGGCAGTTTTTACTATCGAATAGCTGTCTTGAATATCATGTTATGATGAATGTTTGGGAAGACTTACGCGTCCCTTCGTTAAGGGAAACGCAATATTTCTAAACCTAGTTATAACATATTTCAGATGAGCTGTTCAATAGGAAAACTTTACAGTTTAATAGTTTTCATCAATTGTTTGGAATAATGGACGAATCAATACATATTGTAAAGAATAATAAAAAATATTAGATGACCCGCTCAACTGCCTTTCTAATTTACTTACACTCTACTGGGTGTTTAGAAAAAAAAGAAAAAATTATTTGTTTGGAATTTTCGCGAAAAGCTACACAAAGATTATCAGCTCATAGCCGGCTCTAATTGTAAACTAACAGACCAGAAGGAAGAAAGCTGGTTAACAACACTCACTGCCACCTGTGAGGCCACTCAGTAAAACAAAAAAGGAGCTCTAATATGAAAGTATTAATGTACTACATAACAGTCTTTATAAAAACTATAATATTTACAAGTTAACTTTATCAGTTGCAGAAAAAAAGTTCCAAGTCAAATAAAAAATGTAACTTTTTAACCTGAATAACTAGTATAGGCAAGATGTGTAATAATTTAGAACTAATATAATAAAAAAATATATATTTATATTGCACATGTTCCCATTAACGATAAACTTCAGAAGGCGCTCACTCATCTCTACACAGAGAATAAGTACTTCTAAGCCTATTTCACTATAGTTTTACTTTTTATCAAAACAATGTAAGAAACCTACGATTATAAGCAATTACATGGTAGATGAAACAATGAATGTGTAAAGTTTATATTAATTTATAATACACACATAACTTATCATTTTAAAGAAGAATTGCTAAGATATGACAATTTCGTCCTATCCTATAATACGTTTGTTCATATTATTATGATAATTATTTATTTAAGATTGAATGATGTTACTAATAAACAATTCTACAAATGATGAAAAATAATATTAGACCAAAAAGTATCTTTTAAGTTTAATGTAACAAAACAACTGAGTAAAGGTTTTACGATTCCCTTATTTGTTTTGTTTGTTTTTTTTAATTATGCACAAAGCTACTCAAGGGTTATCTGTGCTCTGCCCACCACGGGTGTCGAAACCCGGTTTCTAGCGTTGTAAGTCCGCAGACATACCGCTGTGCTACTGGGGGGCACGATTCCCTTATTTGAAATTTCAGATCCTTTCTGTTTCATGCACCGCGTTCAAACAGAAATGAATATATATTTTTGAATGTAGTTTTAATGCTGATTTCAGAAATATAAATTAAAGTTTGAAGAAATGAAAATAAATATCTTTTATATATTTTTTTACGAAACAAAGGAAGCTCTTTTAGCATTACATATATACCTATGTATTTAAAAGAAATCAATGACTATGTAACAAATTCAATGTGAAAATTCAGAAATATTATTAAATATTTGCTTGAAGAGATCATCATTTTCGTGCCCTAGACGCTAAGCGAACTTGTTACGTCGTTTGTTACATCTCTTAACCACATTCCAAGTACTTTCAATTTGCTGCAGATTTAAGAAATATAAATTAAAATTTGGAGAATTGATTTTTAAAATGGGGAGAAATGGAAAAATATTTTCATTTTTAAAGAATTTTGTTATTGAAATTAAATTTTTATTTGAATAAACATGCAATTATTTACTAATTAGTCTAACTTGATCTAACCTCACATAAATTGACCTAACCTAGCAAAATGAAAAATATATAAAAACATTTCTTTTCATTTCTCCATATTTTAAATAATATTTCTGAAATCAGCATTAAAAACTACATTAAAAAATATGTATTCTTTTCTATTGCACACAGTGCATGAAACAGAAAAGATCCAAAATTCATTCCAAGTGAATTATTATAATAATAATTTATATACTGGTAATTACGTTAATGTACTTAGATATAAATTATAGTTTTGAATGACTAATTATTACCCTGGGCGTTTGACCCCTGGGGGAAGCTCTTCCATGAAACATCGCTGTCTGAGAAGACCTGCCCATAGCTGAACTCCTATAATGCCAAATATGAAGAAAACAAAGAAACACAAAAGGAGAACGTTGCCTAACATAGGAAGAGTATCCAGCAATAGCATTACCAGGATTCGCATACCTGCAAGGAATTAAATAAATAAACCAGCATGAGGAAACTATGTAATCCTCATATTATTGGTGTTCTTTAAAAACAAATCACAATAATTTATGATATAGGATAATCAATGAATGAATCTCTATTGAAAAGTTTTCAGAAACTTAAGCCACGATTACAATCAATATTTCTCATAATCAATGAATAAATATTTAAAGAATGAAGTAATAAAAAAGTTTTCAGAAAATTACTACACAGTTACAATCATTATTTCATATAATCAATCGATAAATCACCCACGAAGGGAATAACAAAAATAAAGTTTTCAGAAAACTACGATACAGTTACAATCACTATTTCAAATACGTTAGGAAGGTATACAATATACAAAATAGTTCGATATAGAGTCACACTGTGTAGGAAACACTGAACAATTTTGTTTGTTTAAGCACAAAGCAGCACAGTAGGCAATTTGCGTTGTGTCAATTTAGGGATCAAACCCCGAAATATAGTGTTCTCAACATTCAAGTTCACCGCTGAGACACAGGTTAGTGAAGAATGAACAACAGTCTAAATAATTCCTTAGAATTATATCCTTTATGATGAGTCAATAGATTCATAGAATTATATCCTTTGTGATGAGTCAATAGATTCATATAATTATATCCTTTGTGATGAGTCAATCAATCCATAGAATTATGTCCTTTATGATGAGTCAATCAATCAATATAATTATATCCTTTATGATGAGTTAATAGATCATATAATTATATCCTTTATGATGAGTTAATAGAGTCATAGAATTATATCCTTTGTGATGAGTCAATAAATTCATATAATTATATCCTTTGTGATGAGTCAATAAATTCATATAATTATATCCTTCATGATGAGTCAATTAATCGATAGAATTATATCCTTCATGATGAGTCAATTAATCGATAGAATTATATCCTTCATGATGAGTCAATTAATCCATAGAATTATATCCTTTATGATGAGTCAATAAATTCATATAATTATATCCTTTGTGATGAGTCAATAAATTCATATAATTATATCCTTTGTGATGAGTCAATAAATTCATATAATTATATCCTTTGTGATGAGTCAATAAATTTTACACCCTTCTTTTAAACTTCAAAACGTTTTTGAGTAACATTTTATAAATGTGGCATTATTACCTTATCTCTTGGGGGAGGGGTGGGGTGTTTCTTGTGTGGACAGCGTAACTCGAAAAAGTTTCATTAGATTTTGATCAAATTTAATACAGAGGTTTAGTGATTCTCTTGGATCAACTGATTAATTGGCCCGGCATGGCCAGGTAGTTAGGGCGCTTTACTCGCTATCTGAGGGTCGCGGGTTCGAATTCCCGTCCCACCAAACATGCTCACCCTTTCAGCCGTGGAGGCGTTATAACGTGACGGCCAATTCCACTATTCGTTGGTAAAAGAGTAGCCCAAGAGTTGGAGGTGGGTGGTGATGAAAGCTGTCTTTCCTCTAGTCTTTCACTGCTAAATTAGGGACAGCTAGCGCAGATAGCCCTCGTGTAGCTTTACGCGAAATTCAAAACAAACAAACTTATGGTGAACGTAGATCAAATGTCCATTACATTTCTTGTTATGGTTACAAACTGGGATTTTGAAAAAACAAAAAACGGTAAAAACTCGAAAACAACATCAGATAAGAGATTTAATTTTGAAACGTAGACCTAAATTCTCGAGAGTGAGTAAATCTTAAATTGGTTACTGCAAAAGTAAAAACAAAAAAACATATTTCGTGGCAGAGTTACTCTCTCTGAATGCCTATTTAGTTTGAGTTTGAGACAATTTTTATCCAATAGAGATATGAACTCTAGCTGGCCTGAGAAATAATTACTTAAGTAAGTTTGTTTGTTTGTAATTAACCATAAAGCTACACAATGGGCTATCGAAACCAGGATTCTAGCGTTGTAAGTCCGCAGACATATCGCTGTGCTACTGGGGGTGGGGGCAAGTAAGTAAGAAAGGAAACATAAAGACCAATCAAAGTTTCCCATTTCTGTCAGTTGAATAGAACTACATTTTTAGTAGTTTTGTCGTATATTAGCTTTTCTAAGTATATTCAAATGCTACATATTTTACTCTTCTCAAGCAGGTATTTGTTATCTAAATATTTTTTTTAATATTGCTAAGTTTTAACTAATATAGGAAAATACTAAATGTGGTTGCGATTGGATGCAAAACATATTTGTTGCTTCCAGTTCTGTAAGGAGGATACCTTTGTGACTGTTACGTGAGACAAAGATACTTCTGCGTTCCAGTGTCTGTTTTCTGATTGTTCAACTACAAGAGAGCACGTGCTATGTAATTTCAGTTTTAGCTCTTTTTCAAGACCTTCTCTGTTTTGTTTGTTTTGTGGGGCCTCAGTGGCTCAACGATAAGCATGTGGACTCATAACGCTAGAAATCGAGTTTCGATACCCGTGGAGGGCATAGCACAGTTATTCCTTTGTGTAGCTTTAGGCTTAACTACAAACAGTTTCTTTGTAGAGTCAAGCTTTGCTGATAACGCTTTAGGCTTAACTACAAACAGTTTCTTTGTAGGGTCAAGCCTTGCTGATAAAGCTTTAGGCTTAACTACAAACAGTTTCTTTGTAGGGTCAAGCCTTGCTGATAAAGCTTTAGACTTAGCTACAAACAGTTTCTTTGTAGGGTCAAGCCTTGCTGATAAAGCCTTAACTACAAACAGTTTCTTTGTAGAGTCAAGCTTTGCTGATAACGCTTTAGGCTTAACTACAAACAGTTTCTTTATAGGGTCAAGCCTTGCTGATAAAGCTTTAGGCTTAACTACAAACAGTTTCTTTGTAGGGTCAAGCCTTGCTGATAACGCTTTAGGCTTAACTACAAACAGTTTCTTTGTAGGGTCAAGCCTTGCTGATAAAGTTTTGTCCGTGTATAAATATTTTATTCGTCACTTTTGCTGATCGGATAAGTTAACGTCCCTTAATGTTTAAAGTATATTACAATGCAGTACCACTTCCAATTGGGCGATGGGCCATGCTTCGATTTTCTTCGATAAATCAAGTGTTTATTTTATATCAGACTTCAACACCGTGTCCTGTCTCTTTCAATCCACTTGCAAAAAGTTTCTACATTTTTCCTTTCATCTACTTACTCCTCGCACCTCTTTTTTTACGGGAACCAGATAACTGTTTGTAAGTATATCCCTGCATGATCACAAGTATTGTCACGGCCAAATAATGAAGATAGTTACTGAATTTTATAAACTTCTAAAGAAAAGTTAACGAATATACAGACAACAAATCACAGTTTAGTAGTCATTGTTAATTAGATTAGAGGATGATAATTAACTTAAAGGGAGATGTATAGTTATGTAATTAGAAGTCGCAGAAAAGTTCTGAATAAATTGCTTTCTATATCAATAGCTCATTGCCAAATGAATCTCTTTCAACGTCGTATTAGGAAATATCTGATGTTTAGCTGTCTTCGTAGATAATCGAAAACTAAGATTCCCACAAGTTTCCTGTTCAATCGATACAAAATCCTTAATCTGCATTAGCGATAACTGTTTTCTGTACTAAGCTGTAAAAAAACTGAAAATCAAACAGCGATCTGGTGACAACATAACGTTCTATTCATTTAACAGTATTAGTTACATATTTAATACATATTATATATATTAAATCTGTTATTAAGAGAATTATTTCGTATTGTTAGCTTAGTGTACGGATTTAAGAATAACTTAAATCTCCCAAGCAGACCAAACCTCGTTAGATATTGTTAGGATTATGACCGAAAATGTCGCTAACAGCGAGTGTACACAACTAAAGAACCAATGTACTCTAATCATTATAAATAAGAACGGGATAATATATTACTTATTTTAATTTGTGTATTAATTTTTAGATTTTATCTATGAATGTACCTTATTTTGATCAGAAGATAATAATAAAACTTACGACAACTTTCAACATTCGTACTGGTAAATTAGGAGGAAAACATTATGATATCACCATCAACAAGAAAGTTTGTTATAGTTTAAGTAAATATGATGTGAAATATACTTGGTATTCTGTTAATGGCGCGAAGTGGACGAAGAACACGGATAGTCCTAATGGCTGAGAGGTTGATACTTCCAACATCCAGACAGTACTCGAGAGTTCTAGCAAATATAATAAGAAATAACCACTATAGAAATTAAAACATACATTTTATCAAAACATTCACATGGGAGGTGTTTTGTATAACCTTTGACATTTGCACGGTTCCAATAATATAATAACAAATAAAGAATATAGAAATTAAAACGTACATCAAAATATTCATGTTGGAGTGCTCTGTATGATTAGAAATGAACTTAGTAACTTACTTATCAGACTGTGATGTCGGTAAACAGCGAATATTGTAAGCTTCTAAGATATAATTATAAATTTATTGAGGTACAAAGCCTTATAGAATTCCATATTGAGATTCTAAAGTAAAATACCAAGTAACTGTATGGCTGGCAAATTTAGACCAAGTGGTAGATGTTGGAGAGTAGTGTGTGTGTGTGTGTGTGTGTGTGTGTACCATACTCGAGTGTTATTAATTTACCAAGATTTACATTATAATATAATCTCTTCGTTTTGACACATCGAAAGCAGGAGTGGTGTTTAAAGGAAACACTTAATGCAGATTTGTAGAGATTAAAATGACGTATGCGATCCAAAGATGGCCCAGAGCATACATATTATTTTCATTTAGGAGGAAATTAATTATAAAGTTTAGTTCTGAGTTCAATATATACGCACAAACACCTTTAATTGTATTCATAAGTAAACCTACTCATAACAAAGAGTTATAAAAATATACAGTTTTACTACAAAAGATAACACAGGCCTGCGATGGTTTTATTGTCTTGAAATGTTTACATGCTCTACAGTAATTACTATACGCTGAATACGAAAATGATATCATTTTTTTTTTTCCATCGCGTACAGATTTTTCACAAAACGTCATACGTTCTTTTACATAGTGAATCATTTTCATTGAAATCGGGTCATATTTTATTATGCTTAAAATGTTGACAACCACTGGCTATAGATTTCTCTAGACCAATCGCGACGTGAGAGTCTTATCGATCGTTCTAGAACCTAAACATAATAATATAAAATGTTTTTGCGGTAAACGAAATAATAATTTGACCTAAGTTTGAGTTTTTTTCTTCCCGATTTGTAAAAAAAAATCCTTACATGATAGAAAAAAATGAATATTATTTTCGAAATCTGCGTACCTGAATTATGGAAAAACCGTTATTAAAACCGAAACAAATTTTATGAAGTTTAAATTCGCAGGCCTGTGTTATTAGAGTTTTTCACTAAGTTTCAAACTCGAAGATATGTTGTGGTTGAAATACCAACAACTAAAACATGTCCGTGACAGGACAATTCGGTAGGTTTAACAAGCAAAAAGTTTGTTAATATGTGTTAGAAATGCATTTATATTAGGAGTAATCTATCGAATATATTGTTGCTATGCATTTATATTAGGAGTAATCTATCGAATATATTGTTGCTATGCATTTATATTAGGAGTAGTCTATCGAATATAGTGTTGCTATGCATTTATATTAGAAGTAATCTATCGAATATATTGTTGCTATGCATCTATATTAGAAGTAATCTATCGAATATATTGTTGCTATGCATCTATATTACGAGTAATCTGTCGAATATATTGTTGCTATGCATCTATATTAGGAGTAATCTGTCGAATATATTGTTGCTAGGCGTTTATATTAGGAGTATATTGCAACATGTAACATGCTATTTTTCATTTTTGGAACACATAACGACAAGGGAACATATAAGACCTTATACAGTTTAGTTCATTAAGATTTATTTATTTTCATATCATTTTAATCAAATTTGGCACACAGACTCAAAGCATAAAGAGATTAATTCTTGGTGAACGTAGCTCAAAGGTCAAGGTCATATTGTAGGGCAAATCCGTAACTCGAAAGGTTTCATCTCATTTTTGTCACATTTAGTACAAGGGTTGAGTGCCCCTTCCCCAAAACCAAAATATTAGCTTTTGGTGAACGTAGCTCAAAGGTCAAGGTCACACTAAAGGTTAACCACTTTCATTGTTTGGGTAACAAATAAGGATTTTGAAAAATGGTTAGGACTCGATAATAAATGGATATAATTTAGTTTGTTTTGAATTTCGCGCAAAGCTACACGAGGGCTATCTGTGCTAGCCGTCCCTAATTTAGTAGTGTAAGACTAGAGAGAAGATAGCTAGTCATCACCACCCATCGTTAACTCGTGGGCTACTCTTTTACCAACGAATAGTGGGATTGATCGTCACATTATAACGCCGCACTGCTGAAAAGGCGAGCACGATCGGTGACGGGGATTCGAGTCATCGAGCCTCAAGTTGCGAGTCTAGCGCACTAACCACCAGGCCGTGTCAGGCCTACAGCAAAAGAAAATATGCTAATTCTTTCTAATGCGAAAGAGACAGACAAAGTATAATTTATCAAACCTTATAACTCTCTAATTTGATCGTGGAGATTCATCAAATTCTTTACAAAAGTATCATATAATTATTTTTTTTTATTAAAAAGGTGTTCAGTTTCCTCCAATATTTTTCCAACAAATTAATCCACTCTTATATTTCATGAGTACATCACAAAGCAATTATAAAACTTTACAGAAATATGACTGCGAAACAGAACACAAACATGCTATTTTAAGGCCTACATTTAGATTTAATAGTATATGTAATCTTTAGGCCGAATTGACACGTATGTGCATGGACTACTTGTAAACAAGGGAAGGTTTTATACAAACAATAAGTTTTAAATTACATGAAATGGATATTTATAGGAAACTTTTTGTTCGGTAATATTTAAAAATTAGTGCGCATCTGTTTTTTCGTAATTCTGTAGAAACACAAAGAACAAAAAAGAACAAATAGAACATCAAAAGAACTTCGTTACTTCTTTTGTGATTTTCTCCATATCTTTTTTTCGTTCGAACACCTGCTAAACACGAACTGTGATGATCAAGAATACTATAAACTATAACGTACTGTAATTAAATTCTTACAAACTGCTACCGCTTCAGTAGGTTTGTTAATTCAACGATATTAAGAAAACTATACGGCTTATTAATTATCTTTTAAACTTTTGTGTGACATCATGACGTGCAATAACATACTCGCCGGTGTATACATTTGGAGACTTAACGTATGCATATAAATAGCAAATACAAGTATAAAGACACATTTATAAAGGGGAAAGTAATGAGAATTTAATTCGTGCGTCCTTTTATTTCAAAACAGCTACACAATGGGCTATCTGTGCTTTGTTTGCATAAGAAACTAGAGTCGAGATAAAACTGTTTTTTTTTCTTTTATTCATGCAAGTATCCGATTAGTTTTTTAAATTTTAGCAATAAAACAATTAAAGTCAGGGCTGAAATTCTACCGGTACTGAGAATCGGAACATATTTTTTAAGGCGGTACTTTTTTTTTTGTTTTAAGTTATGTACAAAGCTACACAATGGGCTATCTATGTTCTGCCTATCACGGGTATCGAAACCCAGTTTCTAGCATTGTAAGTCCGCAGACACACCGCTGTGCCACTGAGGGGCTAAGGAGGTACTAGTACCGGGACATACTTGAGCTATTTGAGCTACTTAGTCATTTTTTATGTTTACGCTTAGTTTTTTTTTTGAAACATCCACTTCACCCAGCTGAAAATTTTACCCCTGACTAACGTTATTCATCAGAACCTAAGCTTAGGGTTTACGTTTGACAGCGATAGCCCCCC